AGTGATAAAACATGGTTTATATTTTTACATTCACTACTGAAACTATCCCAGGTACAGGCCTACAGTACAATTTATTATATTGTCGAATCGATGTTTTTTTTCTGTTCAAATATTCTTTACCAATCTTGCGCAATGATAATCTTTTTCACCAGTTTTAATTAGAAACTTTTATGTATCTTCCTCGCACGGCATGGATCGAAACTGGTGATCAAACTATGAACCACTTCTAACCGACCGATTTCATTGCAACTTGACAACGCAATGTGACCTAAAATTTGGTTTAATTGGATGCCTAATTAATTTTTTATGAATTAATTAAAGTTTCTTTTTACAAAAAGTCCTATCATTTTACACATTATGATTGACTCTTATATCAACAGGTAAAAGTTGGTGTTAATTTGTTTCATATCGAGTCAATAGTAAATTTTAAATAGGTTTGTGAAAATTACACAAGTAAATAAGACGGAGAAACCAGGTCATTAATGATATGTACAACAAATCAAGAAAAATAGCCTACTAAAATTGAAATATACAACGCACATGTATTTAGTATGTAATTAAAGTATTAAATTAAAGCATAGTATTATAAAAAATGCATGTATAAACTTAAAAACCAAACACATTTATAAACGTTTTTAATTTGACAGCATTGTTTGCTTAATTCATTGCTTTAAGTTCACATTTTTAAGATGATATTCGTTATGGTCAGTTTGTCAAAAGTTGCCTCCCATATTTAGCAAAAATGTCGTACTCTCCTTAATTAGTTACAAGTCATCGGAATTTGTAAAAGAAATTGACCAGTAATACTGCTACACTCTACGACGATGTGTCACGAGGCTGCTTAATATGGTTGGGGGGGGGGGGGGGGGGTGAGAAAGTGTGACATCACATTTTATTTCAAAACATAATTCTTCAAAACTGATTTTTATCGTTTATTTCGGATTTTTAAAAATTAAAAAAAAAAATGTAATAAGAATTCTTTAAATATACTGACCCAGAGGCGTAGCGACCCTTCCCGGCGCCCGGGGACAAACTTTCAATTTGGCGCCCCCCCCCCCCCCCCCCCCCCCCATCGGGAGCAAACTTTCGATTTGAGCCCCCCCCCCCCCCCCCTCAAACTATTTATAATGCAAAATGCAGCTAAAATGACATTTTTATTTGTTTTTACAACCCATTTTGGCGCCCCTTAAGGTCGGCGCCCGGGGACATATGTACCCCCCTGCCCCCCCCCCCCCCATCGCTACGCTTCTGTACTGACCTTGACAAACAGCCCCTAACATTTCATAAAGAATTTGCAAAATAAAATTTTAAGTTTTGAGAATTGGAGACGAAAGTGTGATGTCATTTTAAGGACTCGTCCTCTCACAGAAAGATAGAAAAAAACTGACAGGTAGGTAGGCGTGCAGGCAGGCATGCAGGCAGGCAGACATACATACAGACAGAAAGACAGACTTCTAATTCCATACACCGACACGCTTGGCCGCTACTCAACATGACAGCAACACTTGATCAACTACCTGTTGGACCTAGAGCTAACGACTGACAGCTTAACCCTAACCCCCATTGTCTCGCCGTTGTTAAGCCAAACCTGACTATTCCAGTAGCCGACGACCGACCAATCACCAACGAGACCGGCAAATTTAATTTGCCCCGGCTATTTCCGGCCTGACGTTCCCGCTACTAGAGCTCCACCACGTGACCAAATGAAGATTGACAAACAATCGGCCGGAGGCTTTGCCGGCTCTTCTGCCGGCGTGACGCCAGCTTTTGGACCGGCAGAATCCGGTTAGGCAGCCCCGTCTGTTAGGGTCACGTGATGATGGTGATGTACACGTCATATCAACACCTGCACCCCCCTCACCCTCCACCTGAACAGTACTTAAATCAGTGGAGGTACCGATACCCCCACCAGTTTCAAATGCGCATTCACCGAACCCGTCTTGATAGTTATATCATCCGCACTAACAAAATCAAATCGCGAATCATATGAGTCGGGTGTGTGTATTGATATCAGCAGAACCCTTGAGATTGACTCATCGAACCCTTGGGGTTCCTTCTAACCCAGATTAAGAAGCATTAACTTAGAAGTTGATCGAACTAATGTCTAGTCCTCCCTTGTCAGTTGCGTTGTATATCGACTATTGATTTTCAAACCATTTTCAATACCCTTACGTCATACCATACATAAGTCTTCACATGCTATAACACAACAAAAAATGTAATACTCATCAATCCACCCATTAACATACTCCCATGCAAGCACACAAACTATACAGCCGGAATTGAATGCAATTTTTTTTTTGTCACCATGTGAGAATATTCACACCCCTGGAAACAATCAGCAATTATCAGCATACCCTCCCTCCCCCCTCCACTCACACACACAGTCCCCCCCCCCCCCCTCCACACGGACCCTCACTCCGCATGAAGTTAACCCTTAAACGACACCGTTCCGCCAAACGCCGATCACTTCCGGTTTCGTTTATTAACTTAATCAAGTTAGTTTTATTTGAACGAATTGCATTGTGGGAAGATTGCAGACGATAAACAGCCAATCGGCTGCTCGCCACTGGTCCATCGCAGCATGGCCGGACATGAGAGGTCACGGGGTACACAAATCAGGACCGGAAAAATCCGGCCATGCATGGGTGACACATCCTTCTATCCGTTTTGTCTTCTCGTCTTCGATTGGCTAACATTTTGATATCCTGAATGTCTTCATAATGTTTTTATACAACTCGTGTAAAAATAGTTTTCATTGGTTAGCTGGGGAATGGACGTAATCAAAGTTAAATTGGAGTTCTGATAAAATAAAAAACACTTGAAAAACGAAACCACAAAACGTTGTTACAATAACAAACATTTCTGTCGTTTACTTTTTCTGCGCTTTTAAATTACATTTTAGAAAGTGTTTTGATTTTGACAATGACTGGCGATAAAAAAGAAATTTATTTTGTTTTGGATTTCAAACTTTAAGTATTTTTTTGTGTTGAACTTATATATTGTTTAGCCTTCAAATTGTGTATGCAGCGCTATGCCTTACTTATTTTTGAGATCGATAAATATCTAAGGTGGGCGAAATATTGTTTTTATCAAAGGATAAAGCAAATACCATTTATCGTGAGTTTAAATTAGGTGCAAATATATAAAATAATACAGCAAAAAATAGATTATTCGTGGATAGAGTTGATAATTGAGACATTGAAGATTGGATTTATTAGATAGTAGACCTTTTGAGGTATGGGTTACTATATCTAGATTTAAACTTGTTTTTATAAAGCAGTTTGTTTGAGCCATGTTGGCAATGTTTTGGTTGTATCAAATAGTAACCGCTCAAAGCATTACCCCAAACTACAAGCTTTAAAAATTCGGTAAAAAGCTTACCAACTTAAAAAACTGTTATGTATTATTTTAAAACATGATACCCCCGTTGTTGTAAATTCAGTTAGTATTTACCATATAGAATGAAGATCTTTTTGAGTTTGATTGATGAGTTTTTTTTTTTTTTTTTTTTTAAATCTTTAATATGAGTTTAAATATTGATTGAATTCATTCTTTAAAAACCATTTATAAAAAGTGGGAGTGACCTCCCCTGAACTTTTTCGAAAATGCTTCTATAACACTAAGGGAGATGGCAACTCGTGATATAGATATGAATTTTAATCAATTTTTAACTACTTCACCTTTTTTAAAATAGTATAGAATCTCGTACAAAAAAAGAATTGCGTACAAAGTGAACAGCAAACAATGTATGTATAATAGTGTAGAATATAAGTACTTTATAAATTCATATGCGTTTTTTTTTTTTTGAGAAATCAAAAATAGCGTGATGTACTACTTCCGTTAACCGGAATTTACTAAAAATTTGTCAGACGGCCTCGAATTACCTCTTTTACTTATATATGAATTTTTGTTTATCTATCTGAAACAGTACACCGGGTATATGCTTTTGAAAAACCGACAGTAGAATAAACTCCATTTCCATTAACCGGAAATCGCTGCAAAGTTGATACAGGACAACAAATGTGATATAATGCTTACGTATGAAATCTCATCAACCTAGCTAAAGCGGTACTCAAGTTATTGTTTTCACAGCCATACACACACACACTCACACACGCACACACACATACGGAAAAAATGTAAAAAAAAAAAATCCGACTCAGGGAGGTGTAAAACGTCAAGATTTGTTTAAAATTTCGAATTCGATTTTTTGCACGATTACAATACTTCCTCTACACTCCGTATACGAGAAAGTAAAAATCCGCCTTGAACTTGTACGAGTTCTAATGTGACTGACCTCCCTTGTCGTAACCCTAGAGACAAGACTGGGAAGAGAGACACATGTCGCTTGTTAGCCTTAAATTAGGGCGTCTGTCTACGGGAACCTTGTGGGGTTCTAGCCAGAAAAAAAACCTTCCACACTCTGACCACGAAACTGTCCTTAACAACATGATAAGATTTACTTAAGGTAATTGCGAAATTGTTTAACTGCGAAACGAATTTTAAGTTACTAACAGCTTCCGTTTTTCTGAATCTTACATTTTCTTTTTTTTTTTTTTTGCTTTTTTTTTTATTAATCTTGAGTTGGGGATTTTACTTGTGTGGGTGTTCTATATGGGATTGGAGGGTGAATGGGGGGGGGGGGGAGTAAATTGGATGCGAGTTAACTTTAAAGGGGGCCAAACTTGGGGTATTCGACTTGAGTAGGGCGGTGGTTATAATAAAGTGTGGGTTCCTATTTAGGGTTTAACTTGGCTGTCGGGGGGGGGGGGGGGTATAATATTTTTGTGCCGAGTTTTCCTGTAGAGGGGTTATACTGTTATATGTGTCAGGCTAAGCTTGAAGAAAATCTGTCTATTTAGACTTTTTTTTGTAAATGTTATTTTATTATTATTATTATTTTAAACCATGTTTATTTCAGTCAATAGTCTCAACTACAGGATGATAGCATTCATGTACCAGTCAACAAAAAACGGACAGTCCACATTAAACAACACATGCAGCATACAAGAGAAAGCTACAGACAGCATATAACTGACAGCCACAGACAGCACATAACTGACAACCTCAGACAGCACATAACTGACAGCCACAGACAGCACATAACTGACAGCCACAGACAGCACATAACTGACAGCCACAGACAGCACATAACTGACAGCCACAGACAGCATATAACTGACAGCCACAGACAGCATATAACTGACAGCCACAGACAGCACATAACTGACAGCCTCGGACAGCACATAACTGACAGCCACAGACAGCACATAACTGACAGCTACAGACAGCATATAACTGACAGCCACAGACAGCATATAACTGACAGCCACAGACAGCATATAACTGACAGCCAACAGGCAGCATAAAACAGGCAGCACAGACAGCATATAACCAAATGACAAACAGCTCACTATACAATACAACAGATAGCCCACTAGCAGAATCAAGTGCTATATCGTGATTCTTGGATACATTTTCGTTGCATAAATAATAAATGGCAGCATCAACTCATGTGATGAGTCGTTCTCACATGGTCGTCACGTGACAACATTCACACGTTAAATATAGAACTAACGGGGGGTGGGGGTGGGGGGCAGGTAGCAGAGATCAAGGCTTTAGGGGTGGGAGGCAGGTAGCAGATACCAAGGTTTTAGGGGTGGGGGGGTCAAGTGGCGAATGTTGAAGCTAAAAAGGTAAGACAGATTTTTAGGTTCGAGGGGTCATGTAAGTGATTTTAAGCAACGGGGGTCATGTAATAGATTTTAAGGCTAGAGGGGTCGGGTAGTATACGTTTAGGCGAGGGGTTCGGATATTGAGGTTCCAGATGCACATGTTGCTGCTACATGGGTCATACTACACATTCCGACTTTAAAATAGCCATGTATACGTATTGTGGATAGAAGTGCCAGATACTGAAGGAACACGAGTTTAAAGAAAGAAACCAAAAACCATAAGACATGACATAATTCTCACTTAGACTTGTATCTTATTTCACTTTTTAAAATCTGAGCTGACGTTAAAATTATATATTCGTCTGTGTACTGGGTTTTCTTTTCTTCTATTTTTAGGATAAACATGAGTAATGCGTCCACTGTTTACTTATTACGTATCTTGTTTCACGTGATATGTTTTTGTTAGCCAACTAACTCAAGGCTAGCATTGGTAACATTAAGCTTAGTTCACTGAACGCGTTAAATAACATTCCAAAATAAATGAAATCATATGAACTGAAAATGTGTTCAAAACCAAGTTTAAAACATGTGTTTTAAAATACCTCTAAAGGGTCAAAGCACACAACCGCATCAATAAATGCTTCTTAGTGGTCCACTTGATTTGGTTAATCGAAATTTATTTTTAAAATTGAAATGATTTTTTGTTTCGTTCTTCAAAAGTACAGTTTTAAAGCTGTCAAAAAGTAAAAACACCACCTCAAACCAAGTGCTTGTTGATACAAAAATTGTTTTCGTATTTGTTATCATTGTGTAATGTTTTTTTATTATTATCATCATTATTATTATTTTAATTCTTGTTTTTGTTTTTACTATTATTATGATTGTTATTATTTTCATATTCATCATTATTATTCTCATTGTAATTATATTATTATAAATTATTAAAACAAAGAATATAATAATATTCTAAAGAAAGATGTTTAAAATCGTTATACATTTTTTTTTAATTGTCTTAAGGTATAATAGTGTAAGCTTTGTTTTAAAACATTTTAACGACTAATGCTTTACCTACTACAATCAGTAGAAAAAGATTCTTTTCTTCTTATTTTTATTGCTTTTAAGAACTTTTACCATACAAGATTGCATAGGCCTACTTGTTCTATTTCTTTAACGTTGTGTAATGCGGTTATTGAGCTACATTCTTTAGATGTTTCTCTCTAAGGCCGGTAAATTACTACGCAATTTTCTAAACTAAAATGGACGTAGCTTTAATAAATCGTAAACACAGGAAACTCCCAGGGGCCGCAACTCGGGACTACTTCCGGTGGAGGTATTATCGAGCGTTCATTTTGCTTCGAAGTTGAGTTCATCGGGCGGCTATCTGACAAACTCAAACAATGTACTACATTTGTTAATACTTGTAAAATGTCACAGATTTGATCAAAATGTAAAAAAAAAACATTCTCCATTATGTAACACAAGAAATAACATTTATAATGAGACTTTAAAAACAAAATACAATTACATTCCTTCGGTAATACCTGTAGAGCAGATATTTTGTTTTGAACATATAAATTTCGCATATATTTTAAACATTCTCCCATTGGTTGTACGGATTGTGACGATGTTCAAATGACTGTTCGTGTAAAAACAATAGGAACACTACCTAGAGCTCAGAAGCCGGTTATTCTTGGTTCGTCAAGCAAACCTCTACCTCCATACATGACACACCTTTAGCTCTCCACCTTTCCATACTTATTTCTCCTTGTCCAACCCCTCTTCCTCATAAATGACACCCCTCGCTTCTCCTACCCCACCCCATACTAGATCACCCCGTCCGACCCCACCCCTTGCACTACCCCACCCCTCGCCCTACCCCACCCAATACATATCACCCCTTCTCCTAACCCAACCCATACAGGGTCACCACTCGCCCACCCCACCCTTCTATGATCACCCCTTCTCCTTCCCCACCCCCTCATACACGATCACCCCTAGTCCCACCCCACCCCTCGCCCTACCCCACCCAATACATATCACCCCTTCTCCTACCACAACCCATACTCGGTCACCACTCGTCACACCCCATCCCTCGCACCACCCCATCCCTTACATGATCACCCCCCTCGCCCCACCCCACCTCTATAGACGATCACCCCAGAGTGTAAGATCGATGACAACGACTGTTTATTATATCGTCAGGGCGTCTCTGTGACCGAGCATCGAGTCGACGATAAGACGCCCCCTGGTCGATGATGACACCCCCCCTGACGCCCCCCCCCACCCCTTACAACTCCCATCTGTAATCTGCAGCGGTAGCAGACTTGCAGAAGATCGGTTCTGAGAGATAGCCGCTCATTTAGACTTGACCTCGTTTTAACTCCTGCACTGAAGGTCCATTGTGGGGCATGACCTGAATAGTGAGGATCTGGAGGTCTAGTGAATTACATCCCTTGAATAGTTGGGAATCTAGGAGTCTTAGTTACATCCCCTGAATAGTTGGGGATCTAGGGGTCTAGTAAGTTTCATCCCTTGAATAGTTGGGTTCTAGGTGTCTTAAAGTTACATCGCCTGTTTAGTTGGGGTTCTAAGTGTCTTAGAGTTACATCCCCTGAATAGTTTGAAATCGTGTCTTAGAGTTAAAACCAATGACTAATGAGGATCTATGTGTTTTTTAATTACAACCCCTGAATACTTGGGGATCTATGTGTCCTTGAATAAAACCTCCACCCCAAATAGTGTCTTCTAATTACCCCCCCCCCCCTCGAACGGTTGGGGATCTAGTTCTACTAGAGTTATACCCCCTGAATATTTGGTGATCTCTGTGTCTGGGAGTTCAACCCCTTGAATGGTTGTAGATGTACGAATGATTAACAAATTATGGAACTTGTTGAGTGTTTGTACTTTCTAAAACAAAGATTTACGTGGCCAACATCCTAACTCTACTTAGAATTATAAATGTATTTACGCTAGTTCCACATTAAATGCTCCACATTAAATAAAATATTTCATTTTTGTTATACTTTCATGATGTTGATTCATTATTTCATAAAGCATCAGCAGCGACTACTTACGCTATTCTATATGATTTAGCAAAGTGTTCACATTGAATTATAATATAACATTCACAATAAGAAAAAAAAATACGCTTTAAATAATGTAATACGTAAGACGTTTTTCTTAACATTTTTATAATCAATAACAGTGATGGATATATTTTGTCTCATCTTGCAAGGGGATTGTATTTTTTTCAATAACAATCGATTTTTAACGTGGCTTTATTATTATATAAAATTATATTGCTATTGTTGAGGTGTTAGCTGTGTTAAAAAATGTCTTGCTTACATGCGTGTAAGGTGTGAAACTGTAAGCATCATCCCAGCACTCAACATATCAATCAGACCAGCAATCTCTGACTCCGTGACCGGAAATCCCCGAAGGTTCCAGAACATGCTCTGTCTTTTGTTCCCGGCCAGGGCAGCTCGTCTCCCGCGGTCAGTCACTTCCATGCCAGCCTCCCACCCGCTTGACCCGTGGACGTTCCCTGGGTACGTTGTGTCGCTGGGGTCTTCCATTTTCTCCAGGAGATGACGTGTTCGTCGTGAATGCCGCTGTATCTGAAAGTGTCAGCTCTAACCTACGATAGAACGGAGTTTTAGTGTGGTAGTGGCGATTGCTAATAAAAAGGAGTGTAAAATATGAGGCTAAAATCAATCAATATAATGCAATTAATTAAAAACATTTCATTAATGAAACGCGTGATATTTTAATGACGCACAATTAAGGTTTCGAAATGTTTAATTATTTTTAATTTTAGCAGAATGAAATTATATTTAATAATAGGTAGGTGATATCTAGAAAAAAAAAACAAGATTTATCTTTGGTGCTGCCTGGCCAAGGTTGTTAAAGAATCAGGACGCAGGATATTTCTTGTTAATTTTTTATGAAACGATGAGATGATTCCTTATTTTTCCTCCAAATTAAATTTGTTATGGGATTGATCTTATCTTTGCCTCACTAAAGTAAATGAAATATTCTTCTTTAGACCTAACGATTCATTGGACAGATGAAGTAGAGTTCAATAGATTCTTGACTTAGCCATATGAAAGGATGTTGTGGTCAGCTCTATGCCCAGCCGCCTTTACTTTCCACAAAGTAAGCCAGGTACCCAATATAACTGAATGGACTCAGGGACGTTCTACAATCACACGTCCGAACACAGATCCGAACTCGGTACCTTCCGGATTTGCATCACCGGTCGCCACTAATCTTCTGACCATTGGTGCCACTTTAACCAGTGCCCTGGTATGTACAGACTACTGCTACAGCTACTGACCATTGGTGCCACTTTACCTTCTGAATGCAAGAATCAGAAAATTCCTATTTTAATACCCTAAATGTGTGTATACAAGAGGGGGGGGGGGAGGAAGATGATGAAGCTCGGACTCAGAAGAAAAGAACACGGTGGCTCAGCTTCCTAGTCTGCTGATAAAAGTAAATATTGAACAACGGAACAATAATCACATCACTGCACGCGCTCGTGTTTGTATCACGCGCTGCGCAGGTTAAATGTCAAGGTCTATGTTTAGCTCCCTACCGTGTCATATCCGGGTTATCCGTCAATACCCCTCACCCAGGGCCCGCAACTCTCACCTTTTGCAAACATAACTGGGTGCTAATTTTGTTTTTTAGTT